ATATAAATATAATTTAATAAGCCAAGAAACACCTCAATAACCATCAACAAAACATTTTTGCAGCACATAGTGTAGAAACCTTAAAAATTGTTAGAGTAACTTGAATTCATCATGCAGAAGGCAGACTATATTTCTCATTGGACCGAGTGTATCTTGTCTTTGCGTTGGCTTCCTTTTGCTCTGCTTCTTCTTTTCTTATTTCATTTTGCTTTTCTTTTTTTTCGGTTATTTGGTCTGATTTTGACACAAATCCCTTTGGTGCTAAAGCAATTTATGCGGTTGTAACTGGCGCAGAGGCGCAGGATGAAAAGGACTCAAGCACACACGCACACTCACAACCACACTCACACACACACACACACATATCTATATACACTATTCACAAATCCTCACATATGTGTGAATATATATGCTTTTTGTATAGGACACATGCACTTGACTGGGTTTTTCGGTTATGGTTGTTTAGTTGTTTGGTTGTTCGGTTGGTCGGTTGGCTTCGGCTGCCTTGGCAGCTCTGCTGCATAAGTGCAATTTTATGTTTGGCCCAGGAGTTGATAAATGGCAGCCAGTGGGTGCCCAAAAGTATGCATTCAATATGCGAACACAAATCTCAAAGCCAAATCCCCGACTCTGGGCGCTTAACTAGTAAGCAACCACAGCAACAACAGCGACATATAAAAAAATGTAAATTTCTGAGCATAAATCTACAAATTGTCATACATATTGCGCTTTCATACATGAATACAGATATATACACATATATATAAGCATATTTTTATGACTGTCTACGTGTGTGCGCGTCACAACACGCATATGCCACGCCTAACGAGCCCAGCGTACGCCCACCTTTAGCCAGGAACTTGGTCGCAGATAAAACCCCCCAAAAATAATGCCCAAACATTTCGTGTCATAAATTTAACGATATAAGCGCGAAAAAACCTACACAAAGCCAATGTTTCAAGCAAGAAAAAAATAAAAAAGAAAACCCGAAAATACAATGAAAACCAAAATCTCATATGACAAACTTCAAATACACTTATGCGTTTCAAATATTATTAGAATGTTTTTGAAATCATGTTGGAGCATAGTGTACAGAAGGAAACTAGGAAAGATATGTAGGATATCGAAGCAGGTCTCACAGAAAATATTCGTTTTCGTTTTGCACTTAAGAATCAATCTATGGATTTTCACAATAACTAAGCCTAATTACCTAAACACTGAATTTCCTATCTCTCAATCATATCTGAAAGTTCCATTGATTGCTGGGCTAACTGAAATGGCTTCGAGTTCATATATAAGAATTCACTTAATCATATCTAAAAGTTACATCAAAATGGAACTAAGGTATTGCCATAAATAAAGTTAGCTACGTGGATGGGATTTCCATATAAATATTTTTAACTTTGAAGAATATAATTTGTAAAACAAATAAGGTTTGATTTCACTTAATTTTAAACTTGAAGCAATATAAATGACGACTTTGAATTAAAACTAAAATTATTGCTTTGGTATGAATAATAGATCGATAAATAAATAATTAATGAAAGTAAAACATGAATAATTGAAGCTATTTAATAAATTATAAATTGGAAAGTATTTTCGAATAAAATAGAATGATAAAGATGGGCTAGCATAGATAGATGGACAAAATGATAGATTAATAAATCAAAAAAAAAAAAAAAAAAACAAATAATGAAACCAAAACATGAATAATTGAAGCTATTTAATAAATTATAAGTTTAAAATATATTTTCAAGCGAGAAGTGTACAGATAGGCCAGCATAGAAAGATAAACAGCAGATAGATCGATAAATCGATAAATACATAAATTAAAAATATAAGAAAAAAAGAAAACAAAAACTTAAATTCTTGTCTCAGTTATTTAAATCATTCGAACATCTTCCTGTCTTTATTAAATCAGCCCGAAATCGCATCCCACTCACATTTTACAAACCAGCCACATTACCTCCAAATACCCTAACCGAAAAATATTGATTTACAATTTTTTTTTGTGCTTAGAACATTAATTTATTTGGGCCTAACCTGGCCATTGATATGGGCTTTACGAGACGTGTGTGCTACGTTGCCGAGCGATAAATTAATTTAAGTGCCCCACGACAGAAAGAGAAAAATTTTTTGATAACATAAAAAATCAAATAGGCTGATCCGGCAAAGGGCTGAAAAGTCGCCCATTAAGGAAAATGAGCTGCATGCATTTCTAGTTAAATGGCTTCATTTTGTTTAAGGCCAATACAGAAAGCAGCCCTATATATATATATATGTATGTATTTGTATCTGTATATACAGTATATGTGCAGCACTTTGCACATTTTATTTGTCTTACGCTTGAAAATTTAATTAAAAAACTCGGAAAAACATTTCAAGCGAAGTTTTTAAGAAAATGTTGCCTGGCATTAGCGTTGGGCCTCCTTCTGCTGCAGAGGAGGCGGGGGTTGAGGAGGCGTGGCAACTTTAGCAAAGTTGGCGCATCGTTATCAGAGCCATCAACAGCATCAGCAGCTACAACAACCCGAACGGCAGCAGCAACGTCAACAGCAACAACAACAACAACAACAAAGCGATTTATCTTCGATTCCTTCGTTAGGAATACTTTTTAGAATAAATTGTTGTGGATGAAGGGGAGGGGAGATACTTTTTGGCAACGGAAGCTGCGTTACGCTTCGTTTGATTTTCTGCTGTTGTTGCGGTTGTTGTTGGTGCTGTGGTCCTCGGCTCTGGGTCCTGGAAAATTAATTGCATGCAAATATTGGCGGAGCGGCGCAAGTAAATATAATTTCGTTGTTTGCTCATAAATACGCATTATTATTTGGCAGAATGAAAATGAAAACGAATGAAAAGCAAAACGAAGGGAAACAAAACAAAGCACACAAAAAAGAAAAAAGAAAAACCAGACTGAGCACTGGAAAATCAAGCTGAATTACGTGAGAGATTGCGGTCATTAAATTTGTTTGACAACAAGTTACCCTACAAACAGAATTTTAAGCCAGAATCAGAAGAGTGATAATATTTTAAATGTTAAACAGAAATGATTTAAAATGAAATTTTTTCAAATATTGAAAATATAGTTATAATAGTTATAATATAATATAATAGTTTTCATGTATTTATTCATATATTTATTAATTCCTAAATTAACAAATTTAGCTTGCTGCATTGATTATTTAAAAATCATTTCGTGAAGTTATTAAAAATTAAATATTAATAATATAATAATTTTTTACTTCTTTTAAAGTAAATTTTCAGAAATATTTCGAAGTCAATTTAATGAAATTGTACATTAAGTTGACTTCAAAATATTATATATTTTTTAGCAAATTTTCAAACATTTAAAAAATAATAGACTCAACTAAAATAATTCACAATTTTCAACAGCAACTACAAGAAATAAATTTTAAAAATTTTCAAATTTAAAAAATTTAAAAATTTTTAAAAATTGATTGATTATTGAAGGTTTCAAAACATTCAACAAAATTTATAATTTCAAATGAATTTGAAATTTTTTTTGTGAAAAGAAAAATAAAATTCAAATTTTATGTGCAATAAAAAATAGTTCATATACTAAATGAATGTTCACTTGTATGCTACCCATTCTAAACCGCCTAATATGCAATAGGGTATCAGAAATCTAGACAAGATGACAGCATCTATTTTTGTTTTAAGAAATGGCTCGGATTCTGGGGATTTCCCGTCGCCTCAGCCACTGCATCAGCAGATTTCAAAATTATCTAATCGCTTTAAACAGTTTGAGAAAATGTTGTTGCTTAATTAGCATCATTATCTTTGATGGGGTCACGCAGAGTCGAGCGAGCAGGAAAAGCGCAAATGAATGAGCAGCCGAGGAGACAACTGGGAGTGGCTGCTGATAAATGGGCTGCTCAGCCGGGAAGGTGGTAATTAATGGGCAAATGGAGTGAAACCATTTTCAAGCGATGGAGTGTTAGAATTAATGCGTTGCTTGAACAGCACTGAGTTGCCTCGTGATTGGCGTCAACAATTGGTCTAATATCAGCTCGTCCTACATACATTTTCGACCATAATTCATAACAAGCCTTATTGCAGGTATCTCCGTTACAAGTGCTGCGCATAATCGTCTGGCACTTCTTTTTTTATTATCACAACACTTTGGCCCAATGAAAAACTTTGGCCATAAATTATCCTATAAAATTAGTCGCACAAGGAGCACAAAACTGTGCAACAATTTAAAATTGAAAAAACCCCCCTAGCTTTAGATGAAATATGGCTGGCGAGCAGGGCTAAAAGTTAAATAATCACAGTCATGTCAGATAATAAATGATTAACGTGCCAGACGGATTTTGTGCACTTGACTCGAATGAAAACCAAGCGAAAACTGAGCTGAACCAAGAAATCACTTTAAAGTTGAGTAGTAATGTTAATACCCTGTTTTGTAACTATTTACAGGATATGCAACTATATATATATGTGCTATGCTCTATAGATTTTTAGATCTACATAAGGGCTGGTCGAAGGACGGATGGAATGACAGGCCAAAGCACAGCCGAACGGACGGACAGACGGATGAATGAACGGACAGACAGTCGGACGAATTGAGAGACAGACGGAGGGATGAACAGACAGTCGGCCGGATGGACAAGCGGCCGAGCGAACGGTTAGATGAACGGACGGACAGATGAACAGAAAAACGACTAGACCAGACAGAGCTCCCATGTTAATCCTGATTAAGAATACATTTATGGCATCAAACCTCCTTTGTCGTTTTAAAATTTAACGAAAACCACAAATTTATTTTCACTGTTTTCAGGATACACAAATAATTATAATAAACAGGGGCAAAGTAAGGGATACTTAATCTTTGGTATGTCATCCAATTGTTATTTTCTAAATTAAAATTGATGAGCGTAACCATAATTGGTCCCAAAATCGAACCCTTTTTGTCAAACAACTGTCAAGGGAATTTAGCCCTCCAAAAATGAAGCAAACACAAAGACAGTTATAGCTTCTCACAATTTTAATATACGTCTGAGCAGAGCTCTTGCGCAACTGCAGCATATTTTCAATTTACTATTAGACGAGCACAAGCCCACAGGGCAAAAAGAGTTAATTTACATACATAAATAGCATATACTTCGATATATGCAGAACATACAATTTAGAAGCTCAACTGGCAGAGCAGTGCCGTGCCGCGTATGATCCAATGGGCGATGGGTGTCTTCGGATTACAGTCCAATAGCATGCCAACCACAAAGTTGGTGCTGTGTCCCGTCGTCGAGAGAATGCCGCGACGCTCGGCCGTCTTGTAGAGCGGACACAAGTAGTTGTGGCGCTCGGGCAGATCGACGCGTTTCAGTGGTTTCAGCCAAATCAAGGGCATTGTATCGAACAGCATGCGTGGACGCGATTCGGCCAAGTATTTGTGCTGGCGATCCCAGCAAGCGCCCTCCAGATAAATACCATAGACGTAGACGCCATCTGCAGGCGATTTGGTATTCCCAATTTGTGTTTCCTCCAGCGACAGTACATCATAGTCAAAAGCCAACAAATCTATGGAAATCACGTATTTACGTGCATAGTTCTGCTGGGCGCCCGTTAGGAAAGCTTGCGTGAAAAAGAAGCCCGACAGCCAGAAAGTAGCAGGTGCGCCATGGTCATACCAGTGCTGCAAAGAAGGAAAATATGAAAATGCTTATCGAAATTGATAAACTAGAAAATACCCTAGAAGCAATTATAAAGTTCAGATAGTTGTATAAATATATATTTATATCAGTTCTGATGAGCTTATGACTAAATTTTATTTAGGATATTTTTTGTTCAATTTTTAAGGACTTTCTAAGTCAACTATATTTCCTATTTAACTTCATGTTTATAGAAAAAGTATATAAATAATTCTAGAAATTTTTTAAAAAGGCAATCCTAAACTAATATATTTTTATATTATTATTATGATATTTCTCTATCAGATAAGGGCGAAATATATTTGCTTGAGTTTCGGCTACATAACAAATTTTATAGAATTTCAAATTCTATTCTAAAAAAACAAAAATGAAATTTTGTCTTTATAGCTCCTACAGAATACATTTGTACAATATTTATTTAAGTTTAAAATTTTTTAAGAGATGATGAGAAAATTTTATTTAGAATACTTTTTTTTCGATTTTTAAGGACTTTGCAAGTCAAATATATTTCCTATTTAACTTCATGTTTATAGAAAAAAGTATATAAATAATTCTAGAAATTTGTTAAAATGAGAATCCTAAACTAATATTATATTATATTCTTATTATTTTATATTATTATATTATATTATTATTATGATATTTCTCTATCAGATAAGGGCGAAATATATTTGCTTGAGTTTCGGCTACATAACAAATTTTATAGAATTTCAAATTCTATTCTAAAAAACTAAAATGAAATTTTGTCTTTAAAGCTCCTACAAGATGAAATTGTAGAATGTTTATTTAAATTTAAAAATTTTAAAGAGATGATGAGAAAAACTAAATCAAATCATTAAAAACTATATTTTATTTAGAATATTTTTTGTTAGATTTTTAAGGACTTTGCAAGTCAACTATATTTCCTATTTAACTTCATGTTTATAGAAAAAAATATATAAATAATTCTAGAGATTTTTGAAGACAATATTATTATAATCAGATGAAGGCGAAATATATTTCCTTGAATTTCTGCTACATAAAAAATTTTATAGAATTTCAAATTCTATGCCAAAAAAGCTAAAATTAAATTGTCTTTAAAGCTCCTACAGAATAAATTTGTAGAATATTTATTTAAATTTAAAATTTTTAAAGAGATGAGAAAAACTAAATTAAATCATTAATAACTACATTTTATTTAGAATATTTTTTGTTAGATTTTTATGGACTTTACAAGTCAACGATATCTGATATTGAACTTAGTGCTTATAGAAAAAAATATATAAATAATTCTAGAGATTTTTGAAGACAATATTATTATAATCAGATGAAGGCGAAATATATTTCCTGTAAATTCTGCTGCATAACAAATTTTATAGAATTTTAAATTCTATTCGATAAAAGCTAAGACAATTTTGACTTTCTAACTCCTTTAGCAAGTTATATCTTCACAGTGCAGTTTGGCAAGTTGATTGCCTTGCAAAGGGGGTCAGAGCTAGGACAAGTGGCCTAGTAAACAGTTGCGCTGCCAGGGCAACAACTGTATGCCGTTGCCATGCGAAATTGTTAGCTCGATGTTTGATGTTTGATGTTGAGGCACGCAACTCACCTGCAGGAATTCGAGGCGACGCATAAAGTCCGCGACGTAGCTGCCAAGTGGCTTTAGGCTGGGGTAGGACTTGCTGGCCCACATGGCCGGAATTTTGGCAATCAGCACAGACTTGTAGACCGCCTCCACGGCAGAGGACATGACCACGAGACCTAAAAGAAGAAGAAGAAGCAAATAGAGAAAGCAGCAAAAATATATATGGAGCAGGCAGAGAAAACTTTGTCAAACTGTGACAACGAACGGACCCAATTAGGAGCTACGGAAAATTCAATTAGTAAACTGCTAGCGGACGTGCTTAACACTTAAATGATTAAAACAAGTTTTTATTATTTTTCGAATTATTCGAGCTAAATAAACTTTTAATTAGCCTGGTCGAAAAAAACAGCACACAGAGCGATGCAAGGGCCACACCAGGACATCATGGATGTTTTATTCGGGGTGCAACATATGCGCCGCTCCAGCAATACTTCCCTGTACTCCACGACCAAAGTTGATCATGTCAAAAAAATGTCATCCAGGGAACAGCTGCTGGTCGAACCGCCGAAGCATGCCAAGCGCGTGACCTTTAGCAAGCAGCGCATACAGAAGCCACGTCATACCACAGTCAAAGAGAGCGAGATGCAAACCGGGCTCACCTCCTGCCTGATAACTAATCCCACGCTCGTCGATCCACGCGCAGCAGGCGGTAAGTTTAATAGGTAATTAAAATAGAGTTCATATGCCAATTAGATGCTGTGTAGGTGCGAACAATCCGGCGGAGCGTAGAGTCGGCTGGTTGGCGCGCACAGACAGCGAATGTCAATTCAAGGCACCAGGAATTGAGTTCCTAACCGAAAGAGAGCTAGATGTGACCACATACGAGGTGAAGATGCGCGAGTCAGTGCCGAGCATCAAGGATTATACCACAAAATGTGATTATTTCCCCAAATATGTGGACAATCGGCGTTACAAGGATCAAACCACACAAACACTTTACAGGTAATTGAATAAAACTTTCGCTCAGACATGCGATCTCAGTCCATTTCCTTAACTCAGGGAATCCTCGGCACAGACTTTGGCCTATTTGCCAGATATTATGGACAAGGAAGCCGACGAGCATTTGGAGATCTTCAATTTGTCCACACTGCTGCCCGGTGATAAGCCACCAGGTCTGTATGAGGTTGAGATCTTGGAGCGTGCCCGCAAACGTTGGGCCTTCAACAAAGCGCTGAAGACGAATTTCAAGAAGCAGCTAGATCAGGAGCGCGAAAAGGCCATTAAAAGCAAGTATCGGCCCATACTGGAGGCCTTCGAGTGGGAGCATTGGATGGAAAGGGAGGAGTACATACAAGAGTGCCAGATGATGCGTCTGGAGATTGTTATACGCATGTTTGACAAGCGCGAAAAGCAGATGCACGATGCATCCAATGCACGCATCGAGAAGGCCTGCGAGTATATCGAGGACAAACGTCAGCGAGGCCTCACTAAAAACGAACTTGAGTATCAGCGGGCATTTCGACGGCTGCATCTCAAGAATGCAGGCATCTCGAGACGCTGGGTCAAACAGAGTCCGATGTATGCTCTGGGTACACCGTGCTCCGAGTTCTATGGACCACTCATCCGTCATGGCGTCGATCCGAGTCGACGCAATTTCGTGGGCGATGGCCGTAAAGCGTTCGATATGCGCATCGATGAGCTGGAGAAACGCGTGAATATGGATCAGCTGCGATGCCGATTTACCAAGCTGAAGGAGTGGTCCAAGCCGAAAGAATATGTCAAGGAGTACGAACAGAACTTCTGCTCCGACAAACATCTACAGAAGCTCTACGAGTCACTCAAGAGCTTGCGCTCTCAAGCAACCAAACAGAAGACAACGCCCAAGTGCCTCATCCGACGTCCCAAGCCTCAATCCCAAACTGATTTCCGCCCCTCGTTCAGCTACAAAGAAGAGGACGTCCGTCACTTCTTTGACCGGCGCCGGACAGACGACGAACTAATGCAGACTGCGCTCTCGCCAGAACAGATACTGGCCATCAATCAGCATGTGGCGCATGAGAAACGTCTATCTCGCCGTCCGGAACTGGCTAAGGAGATGCTTAGGGAGCGACGCAGCGAGGATCTCGAATATTTGCTCCAAATGTATGAGGGCAGCACCATCGGCTGGATAATGCAATTCCTCTCCGAAGAAATGGAACGCCTCAAGGAGCAGCGGAAACTTCATTTCTTCTCGATATTAACGCAAAAGGAGCGCTGGCGCAGGGAAGCTGCCGAAGCGGGCCTACGGCAAAAGGAGAACAATATGCGCGTCCTCTACGAGGACATGTTCCAGGAGAGCAACCTGGTGCACAGTGAGGTGACCGATGATTATATCAATACGATTCTAACAACCGATATGGCCCACATTGCCGAATGCGAAGCCACCGAAGTTGTTGTCAACATGGCCAAACAGATCGATAGGGACATTGAGCGCTGGCTGGAAAGCTTTAAGCTCATTCAAACGCCGTTAACCTATGTGCCACTGCGCCAGATGCTTGGCAAGATGGTCTTTCCGGAGATGAGCGAATTGCTAGAAAAAAACGAGAAATATCTGATAACCAAATACATTGTGGACGATGTGATCTTTGCGGGCCTTTGGGAAAAGCTCGAAAGCTACGACATATCATATACAATATCTAGCGATTTAGTTGATCGCCTAATTGATAATGATCTATTTCTATTTTCGACCGAAAGCGAAGACGAGTCACCCAAACGAAATGAGGCAAACGCGATTATACGAAAGCTCATACGACAGGCTGTTCCCGGTAATCGCTGGCAGACCGAAACCGAGCGAATCGTCCACGAGACCAACGTGAGTCTGTTGGATGAAGTGTTTGATAAAATCATAGCTAAGCTTGACGTTGAGCCTGTACCAATGGAACCAATAGTGCTGCGTTCAGATCGGTCGACAAATAAACTGATTGAGGTCCGAGATATACATAGATTCAATGCATCAAAACATGAGTCTCGCCAGTCAATGGTGGATGTGGGTTCCCAGCAATTTATAAACAAGCAAATATTGGCATTAGTGAAGAAGATGAAAGATGATCATACTACGGGACCACTGAGACGCAGCCCCGATCAGTATGTTGATCCCGGAGATGCCGACCCGCTGGATAAATTCCTCAAAACCGAGGTGTACCGAGAGATGTCGCAATTACAGCGTCAAAGCGACGAAAAGGATGTGTATCAAATAGCGAGTACCATCGACATTGGATTCAATGATGATTTTACGCAGTTTCGTCTAATACCGGAGTCAAGGTCCAGAAGCAACGAAAGCATGGAAAGCATGGAAAGCGTGGAAACTCAGACGCAGCAAATCGATAAATTGATAGGTGCACTCACCGAAATCGTATCTGATTACGAGGTAGTCGAAGCGGAGGAAAATACCGAATATGAGGCAGATGACGAACGTAGTTGGTGGAATGATACCTCTTGTGAGGAAGGCGACGAGGGTGAGAGCAAGTATGCCAGGGATGACATGGATGCAGAGAATGAAAATGAAGATGACGATGATGACGAACGTGACAGTCCCGTAACTGACACAGAAATCAATAGAGATACCCACATAAGTATCTCGGAAGTGGATGAGGAAGAGCGTGTCACGCAGTCCCGTCCGGTCAGCCATTCGCTTTTCCAAGCTAAGTTCAGCAAAGATGCAAAGAGCGGTACGTATAGTAATTACGAATTGGATATAGGTAGACCACAAATTCATCGACCAAAAAATGAGGGCGAGGTGGACTCGGTTCTGACAAACGAACGTGAATAGTTTTCTTCTATTTTTCATTGTGGACTATTATATTGAACAATTGGATAAAATTAAAAGTACAGACAGCAAAACACTTACCCTTGATGCCCTTTCTCAAAGTTATCAAACTCGTGCGTATTGTATTTAGCAGCACATTGAATCGCACCATTTCCTGAACTAGCACCGTGTTCATGCTCTGATGATATAGGGTCGGATAGCGAAGCAGCGCTGCGTCGCGATCGAATAGTTTAGGCAATTTATCCAATATGTCGGTGGCCACGTTCGTCACCACCTCCTCGGGCGTTAGCGTCTTGGCGCCGCTGCTGTCATCGGACGCTGCACTGGTGTCCTTCAATGGCATTTGGTAGAGCGCGAGGTAGGGCGGACATGTTGGATAATTGGGTAGCAGTAAGTTTTCGGGATAGCGTTGCGACAACACATCTAAAAAAACTCTTTGGGTTTTCTCCAGTTTCTAAAGCGCAAGCGTGTCAACAAAATCACAGATGAAAAGCAAAGCAAATGGTACGCAGCAAACAACTTACGCGTTTCTCATGAAGATCCTGTACGGCAAGCATAATTTAAAGCAACATTTTGTTAAAGTTCTCAAAGTGTAGACTAATTGCAACTTACCCAACGTTCCTTTTTAGCGGCAGTGAGTGATGATATAAATAAGCAAAAGTTAAGCAACAAGTCAAGCGTTTCGGGCCGAGCTCTAGTCGTGACACGAGCCGACAATAACTAACACGAAGTGAGACTATGGACTTGGGGGTAAAGTAACGAACGGACGTACGGACGAACGAACAGACAAGACTCTGCTCTGAGTGCTGACAATGAAGGGTATATACCCTTAGTGCAGACTATTCAGCTTCTTCGAGCTACTCCAAAAGCAACAACACAATATAACATTAACATTAACATTAACAATACTCTATAGCAAGTGTTAAAAGAGGGTTATCAAAAGTTATACATACACCGGGCATATCAATTCGTTCACACATCGTCTACCCCACATACCTGTGTTAGCAACGTATGCGAGACCAACATATCCGTTTCCTGTTGATCCTTCATGATGTCCGCATTCGCATGGAAGCCAAAGATCGATGGCGGTGATATTTGTGGCAAGTCGCGCGTAAAATTCAAATACAACTCAACGTCCTTGAAGACGGGCACATAGTAATAGCCCGTCTCATCCAGATAGTAAGGCGTCTCCAGATCAATTACGCTGGGACTATAGTAACGATCCAGTATAGTCTTCAGTGTACGACGATCCCAATCGTCAGTGACACGACCGCCATAATTACACTCGCCGGTCAGATAGCGTAGGGCATCGTAGTTGACCGTCTCGTATTGATTGAGGAACATGCGCAGCTGCATTAGGGAGATGCGCAGATCAGTTTCATTGAACTCGTAGGGTATGTTCCAGCCGATGGGTCCGAAGTAGCGACGCTCCTGAATAACGGCATGGAAGAAGCACAGCGAATAGATCAGCTGCTTGAAGACGCGCGGCTGTGTGCAGGACTCGTACCACTCAAGATCGCTGATCGGATCGCTAAGCATCGAGCGCATGATGTTCGAACGCAAGCCCTTGGGCGGTTCATTTGTCATTTTGATGCCGTTCTGCAGCACCACAACCGGGAAATGATCAGCCGGATAGGAGGTGAGCCACAGCCGAAAATCTGGATGCGTTGAATCGGGCAAGAGATTCTCGCAGACTTTCTCCAGCGACGGCATGAAACTGGCCGCCAAGTGGCAATTCTGTAGGACCACCCAATTGCCCAGCTTGACACCCTCATCGATCATCTTGATGGCAATGGGTCCTTGGCCCTGGCCCAGTGACAGGGAGAACAAACGATTTGTGCCGAAGCCCTGGTCCTCGGCGAATTTCAATAGAGTCGCTGTCGGATCCGAGCCAGGTGTCAAAATAAATATCAACGGCACACAGCAGTGCGAGTCACCAAAGGAGGCCATCAGATCGAACTGAGGTGGATCCACAAATCGAGCACCCAACTCGTCGGAAACAAAATTCAGCACGGCTGGCACCAGTTTATCCGGTCGAAAGACGCGCAACAGCAACAGATGCTGAAAGCCACTTAAACGCTTGAGCCACTCCTTTGGCATGTCCTTTTTGTCCTGCGGTGTCTTTGAGTCGAAGAGCAGCTTCCAACTGTTCGGATTCGCGGTAAAATCTTCGCGTAATCCTTTAAAGTTGGGCAAGTTCGATAACCGGCAGCATTCATCCCAATTTTGAATGCCCAGCCATTCGGTGGGATTCTTATACGGATTATCGAGACCGATGCCGCCAGTTAGCAGAAACATCCATTCGGTATTGTCAATCAAATTGTTGTGCTTCATCAGATTGATGTTCAATATGAGGGAGAACAAGAGCTTATCCTGTCATAAAAGTTTTATTTATATTTATTTTTTTTTTTTATTTTCATTTTTCGGACACGCATTAAAATGACTTTTCAAATGGGGTTACATAAGCAATCAAAGCCATGGCTCAAAGATAAATTCTAACATTTTTCATTTTTCCCTTACAGTGAATTAGAAAACGAAGGATCAAAGACGCATATCTTAATTGACTGAAAACATCATCAAGCCAAAAAGGAATTGGTTGAATGTTCCCTTTTTTTTGCGCTTGTTTCCCCCTAATAATTCCAACAATATTAAAGTAGGATGGCCCTCTGCGTAGGTATACAGTGGACATAAGCTGAGATTTTTCTAATAGAAAAATAGGTTTTATAACTACTTTCAAAATGTTAATGTTCATTATTATTAGAATCTCTAATTCAAAATATCGTTTAATTAAAAAATAAGTTGAATTAATTCAAATTTATGTACAAAAAATCTACAAGTTAAATATTGTTAATAAAAAAAATTACATGTAATTTGTTAGTTATCTTTTCGTTTTTTTCCGTTTAAGCCGAATGTAGCAACTGCTAAATGTATTTGACAGACATGTTACAAGTTGTGCTTTAACAAAATATTACTTTTCGAAGATTTAATAAAAAATTTTATGGAAAAGAATTAGTGATTATATTATTTAAAGGTGGCTGTCAGCATTGACAAGCACTTCGAAATTAATATTTCAATGAAAAAGGAAGTCCTTGGAAAAAGTATACAAAATGTAAGTAAATAGTAATTTGTTGTGAAAGTGATTGTCAACTTTGACAGACACTTTAAGGTTATGCTTTAAAAAAAATTAACATTCGTTTTTGTAATAAAATAACTTAAAAAAAAATCATATATTGAAAATTAGTCAAAGTGATTGTCAACTTTGACAGACACCTTAAAAACTATGCTATAAGATTAGATTTTTAAATTTAATTTCAAACAAAAAACACAGTGACTTTTAGTCAAAGTGATTGTCAACTTTGACAGACACTTTAAAAGTTATGCTATAAGATTCGATTTTTAATTTAATTTCAAACAAAAAACACATATAGTGACTTTTAGTCAAAGTGATTGTCAACTTTGACAGACACCCTAAAAATTATGCTATAAGATTAGATTTTTAAATTTAATTTCAAACAAAAAACACATAGTGACTTTTAGTCAAAGTAATTGTCAACTTTGACAGACACTTTGAAAGATATGCTATAAGATTAGATTTTAAAATTTAATTTAAAACGAAAAACATTGACTTTTAGTTAAACTGATTGTCAACATTGACAGCAACATAAGGTCAGCCTCTCCTCTATTAGATTCCTTGTTAAGTTCCACAGTGCGTAAGACGTGCACCTGGCACACAGCATTAACGGAACGCTGTCAATTGGAAGTGACGGCAAGGCAGCAAGTCCTTTAACCTGATGCCAAGGAATTATTAAAACGCAGCGAAGCGCAACGATACGCAGCCACAAAGAAAAGCAAGCGCCCAGTAATAAGCTTAAAATATATAACGCAATAGGATTATATCGCAATTACGCTGTACCCTGTACACACACAGACAGAGAAAATTGGAATGGGAGCCACAGCAATGACCCCAGCTGAACTAACGTTTGATGATAACTGGCATTGGAGGATGGCGGATGGAAGTACTTACACGCTCGAAGAGACTGCGACAGATGTTGACGTACAGGCTATAGGTGAAATGATTGCGCAAGTCCAGCAGACGCGCCTCAATATCATCCACCTTCTCCGTATTGTCAATGGAGGACATGTACAGATTGACGAACCAAACCAAACTGTATTGATACATGGGATCGATGTTAGCCAGATTAACTGTAAAATGAGAGAAATGGAAAGTGTCAAGTCGACATCTCCGCTAAGTAGCAATGGGTCCACCGTTTACCTATGGTAAAGAAGAGAATTGTCGAATGCTCTGCTATGGGCACATAGCTAAGACGCGCCAAATCGATTTGCTTTTCGGTGGCCTCTGTAATCACTTGCTTCTCGCTGATATCATTGGCCAGAGCTTTGGCTGAGCTCAGAATCTGCACGGCAGTTTCATCCTCCAATATATTCTCGGCCGACGAGAGCACCTCCAATATCTGATCTTCAGTTTCCTTCAGCATACGCTTATTCTCAGCTCCCTGAACAATGAGATTGTTTTTCTCAGCCTCCAAATCGGGTCGTTCTCTGGCTACGGTAATGCCCAGCAGCTGATCCTGCAGGCCCTGTGTGGTAATCATGAAGTTCAACAGGGTTACCTTCACGGCCACCTCGGGCAGATAGTGGGGGTTTCTCAACTTCGTTGTCATGTAGAATCTGTGAAATGACATGAGACTTAACGTTGTCATATCCACATTATTTATCTTACCTGAAAGCATTATTGTATTCAATAACCGTATCGCCGAGCTTAATGCACATGGTGCCGCCTTGTTTGAACAGCTGCTTCAGCAATATGGACTCCAGTATGGGATCCAGCTCCTCGCCAATGTTCTCCAACAGCACGGGCAAGCCGAATTGTATGGCATTCTCCAGCACGCGCGTATAATCCGCCTGATTCAAGCGTATGACGCACAGCTTGTTGTTTTTCTCATAGTTCTTAATCCATTTATTGGCCTGTCCCTGCGGATCAATCATCAGCGGCCAACGACGTGCATTTCTATAAATCGATTACACAGATGAAATCAAATATGAAATTCAGTTTATAAAAAAATTCAGAAGAAATGCAGCTGGAGCATGGCTCTGAAATGTTGTCGCTGAGTTTTTATAATATTATAGCTAGAATACTTCTAGAGTAAATATAAGATATATACAGCCAACAGCTTGAAGAGTAATTTAAAGCTTGTAGCTAACTTAATCGAATTAATCTACTGAATTTTGTCTCTGTAGCTTCCATAGTCTCTCAGTCCAAAGAGACTTCCAGCTGCATCTGTTTAGCTTGCCTACAGTGTTAATGCGGAATGTTAATGCTGAATGTTAATGTTAATGTTAACGTTAATTATTTTAGATTTATTATTTATTACACTTGCTTTTGTGTTAGTTTATAATTATTAATTAAATTATTATTTGAATTAATCATACAAAAAAAGCTTAGCTGTTGTTCTCTATAACTCTTTCAACAATTTCTTAAGATTTTATCAGCTTCGGTTAAATTGCTCAGATTGTTATACATCACTTAGTGAAAGAATTTTATTTTTAATAATTTTAATAATGTTTTCTAGAATCCTAAATTTCCTAAATAAAACCTAGCAATATTTTGAATAATTTTATTTATTAAAATATAAATTTTTGGTAATATAAACTTAGACTTAGAAACTTGTTTTTGAGAGCAGTTTCAACAAGAAATTTCCATATATTATTTGGAATAGATATTCCATATTTAAAACTAAGCATTTCACAACTAAATTTTAATTGAATATAGTGCATTACATTAATTTACCCAATTCTATTTAAATAATAAATGCTTTCAATATAACTGCAAGCTATTAGATATAAGCTCTTTAATATTTGTATTAAATTATTTATTATTAACACTTGAATGCTAGAGCACGTTTGTAAAACTCTTTAAGAATGGGGATTAAATTTTCAATAAGCATTTATTTACGCTACAGAAATTATATATATGATATCGAACATGCAAATGAATTGATGGAAAAGCCAGAGAGAAAAGACGACAAACACATGCAAATATTTGCTTTGAAAAATATGAATACACATACACACAGATGTGTGTGAGTAGGGTGTGAGTGTGTGTTAAAGTCTTTATATGACTGTGCGATAACTCACAGATGTACAGTTTAAAGATACAATAGGCAAATATAACAACGACAACAACAACATTGCCGAGCACATGACAAATTCACACCGAATACAAATTTGCTCATGCGAATGAATGAACATTTTTGTAAATTGAAAACTTGATGAATGAAAAATATTTGATGCAAAAACAAAGGAGCCAATTTCAACCTCTCTTCGCAGAGAAAGAGAGAGACAGCGACAAAAATAGAAAGCGAAAGAGACAGAGAGGGAAAGAGCATGGCTCAACAAAAAATGTCAGCGAATAAATGCGCATACAACATACCAAACGAGCTATGTAACTATGTATATTGATATATGTATATATATAAATATATATCTGTTTGTTTGTATATACAGATCTATATACATTTCTATGTATATATATCTGAGTGTCGCGCTCAAACTACCAATACAATTGAGCCTAGAGCTCGTGAAAGTTTCGACTTATAGATATGCTGTAAACAGAATTAATACAATAAAAAAATTTTATATACAACAAAATGTAATAAGAGCTAATAAGATATTATTGTGTATAGATATATTTATTATTTGCTTTCCTCTTCTCAATTTTTAAAGAATATTTGTTTTCCGAACTTTCAAAAAATTTGTCGAACTCCCAAGTGAAATACAAAATTTTGATAATAGAAAATTCAGATTTTAATTACGGTTTGAAAATTATAAATTCAAAATTAAAGTTGGCAAAAAATTTAACTGATATTTGATACCTCAACAAATTAGCTTTGAAACTAGACAAACGAAAGTTTCAAGAAAATCGATATATGCTTAATATATGCTTATAAGCTCAATTCAAATTAATAAGAAATATTAAAAGACATGCATTTTTGCAGTTTTCTCAGCAAAAAAGTTCTGAAAGTTCTAAATATACTAAAAAAAAATAAAATAAAAAAAATATAAATAAAATAAATTTCGGTATTTTAAAGATGCTTGAGAGAAATAACTGATTTAGCTTTTAAAGTTTTGATACTTAAAATAAAATATATATTTTTTGCTTGCCGATATCAGGCAACTTCTTCGAACCTCAAATACTAATAGACTTCAAGTCTAAAACACTACAAGTCCTTTAACAATTTACAGGGTATTAGAATGCTTGCTGGCCTCGCTTCCGCTAGGCAGTTGAAAATTTAAAAACATATCGAGAGTTGAGAAAAAAAATCGGGAACCAGCACAGGGGAGCACATTCCGAGTGCGTTGACTATGCAAACGCCAAGAAAAACCAAAAAAAATGTAAACAATGCAAATGCAATAAAGGAAATCAAAATTGACAACAAAAGAAGAAAACGTTTGTAAATCACAAAAGCTTCCACTTGGTTTGCCACAATAGAAAATAAATTGAAGCATGACTTAAAGCTGGAGCACAAAATCGAAATTGTTTCGATCGTAGCACTTAAAGCGTGTGCTCAGTATTCAATTCTCCAGGCGCGCTGCTGCTGCAAGGATTGGCCCTTATCCAAATTAACATTATTTAATCAAACATTTATGTAAAGAGACACGACCCAAAGCGGACCCACAACGAATGACTCCACACCTGCTGCCCCACATTAGCAATTTACGAAGCAGTTGCCGGGAGGCATCATGTGGGCGACGCGTCGGCCCAATAAAACAGGAAGAGCTAAGGAAACAATAAGAACAAGGAGAGTGATAATAAGTGCAAGTGATCAACGAGAAAATACCCTTTAGTAAGGCATGAAGAATAGCAAAGAGCTCAGCATGTTGAGCTGAGGAATGCCTTAAGCAGCTCAATTTAAAGATTCAATGGAAAAAAGTAAGCTAGCTACTGAATACTCAAATGTAAAAGGAGAGAAAAGCAAAAATAAACTAAACAAATAGGTATGATTAGCTAAAAATAGTATGATTAACAATACCCTGTAAAGGCTGCGACCTGTTAGTTACAAAGCGAAATTCAAACTGGCTAGAAAATACTGCACAATAAAATAGGGAAAGTCAGCTGGAAAAAATAATAAATAAATAATAAAAAAATATTAATTATAATAAAGAGTGTCTTAATTGAGAGTGAATACAATGTAAAGAATGAATGAAATAGTTGAGTGTGATTTACTCTAAAATACCCTGGAAAAACTAAAGAAAAGATATAGAACTTTTAAATATACTTGAAAAAATTCTTAACAATTAAAGACACAAGACTACAAGAAACTAAACTAAAATATATATAAGCAATATTTTTCTGACCTTATTTTGATACAACAATAAGTTATTTGACCTTTTAAAAAATGCACACACTAAAATTTAAGGGTCTAATAAGGTTTGAAGTACGATAAAAAATAGCTTCGTTTTCTTAACACATTTGCTGTAAATAAGTTATGCGCTAAAAGAAATTCTAAAAAAAATTTAAGTTATATTTTATATAGTTATCGATTAATAGAGCATTCATTTACTATAGTTATCGATAGGCAAAAGCGCTGTCGATAATTCTATAAGTAAGACAATAAGAAACTAGATTTCTTCGCTTACTACCCGTGGGTCCGTCACATGTAAAGGGAGACAAACAGACATGGCTGGGTATATGCAATTATGGAGAGCGAGAAATTTATGTGAGTACTTCCCATACAAGCATATACATATCATTAAATTCTTAACTCTTCTAAAATGTATAAATGAAAAGAAGAGAGGAAGAAAAACGAACTACGAAAAAAATGTTACTATGAAATATCTAAGATGATTTCTTTCTCGCTTGAAGTTCGTCTAAAATCAACCATCAAATCAAATCAAATCAACCTTTTGGCAAAAGCCATAAGTACAGGGTATTTAAGGACAAAACAAAAAACAAATAGAAATTCATTCGTCTTGTGTCCGGCAGTCAGAGGAATTGCAGATAGTATAACTAGCGGCGTCTGAACAAATCCCCACATCATTCATTTGCCGTGTCTATGGGTAAAAATTAAACGTAATGCGCCCGGAGCGAACATTAATCAATTGCTTATCCTTTGTGCAGCAGCAGTAGCAACAGCAGTGGCAGTGGCAGCAGGAGTATCATCAGAGGTGGCTCACACCTCAGGTATTTTGGGCATGCTCCAAATTACTTTGAACACTCGTGGCGTGGCAGCAGCCAGGAATTTCCTTTATTAAATCGAAATGGAGAGACATGGGAAGAGTGGCATGTGGCATGTGGCAACGCGACGCAACGAGCCCGCCCCCGCCCGCCTGCTTATTTTGGTGGAAACTCACCAGATGCGTAATGCTCTCTCAAACGCACGCATCAAACATGAAAATTCTTTGGTGGGCCCAACCACCTCCTAACCCAGCGGACCGACCGCCCTTAGTTGCGTACCTTGAGCTAAAGCAACCACCGGTGCTCGGGCAATATGCGGGTGCCGCACACTCACCCAAGACACACGCACAGTCGAACACAACTCTGCACCCCGTGCCCCTGTGCAGCATCCGGCGCAGCTCTCACACTCTGCACACCGACGCTAAGCGGCATATCTTTAATTTTCTTAATATGCGTGAATTCTAACATTTTATGTTTTGTAATTAGAAACAAAAACCGAATCGAAATAAGCTATGACGAAAATTGTAATACCCTAGCAAAAATCATTAATCAAATTGCGCGCGTGGCAGACGTAAAGAATTTAACAAAAAAATAAATAATCTCTATTGATCTTAAGGAAGCTGTGTTGGAATATATAGAGAGAGTGATACTCTTCTGATCAAAGTTGACTTGAATCTTATAATATTTTATATGAGCTCTTTAGATGCTATAAGTTCAGCTACCAGGCTACTGGCTATATAATTTCCATTATAGCCGCTCAATTAGGGTATATAAAAATGTTGAATCTTGTGCTACTGACAAGCGCTCAGCCATAATTAGCGTGTCAGGTTATTTAATTGAAAATAGCTATATATATATATATATATATATATATATATATCTGTGGCATGCTTGGCTGAGCCACAGCTGCTGTAGCCCGCGATGAAATTAATGAAATTCCTGGCGTAAAGCTTTTTCCATCGATTTGTAAGCTAATGACTTTTTGTGGCAGTTTCCCATAAAACTTGGCCTGTTGCCTATTAGCGCATTTAGCATTAACAACAAGCTAAGTCCCTAAGCTTAAGCCCAGACTTGCTTGGCACAATTTCAGGAATAAATTATAGCTTGGGCACACTTACTTCATCATGATGGCGCTCTCGACGGAGAACGCATCCGTTGGCAAGCCGCATATATTCCAGAAGCGTACTTCCACCGGCTCGCCGAGCACAACCGCCAGCTGGAAGTCGGCCGAGCAGGTGACACCATAGTCCAGGCACTTCGATACCCATTTGCGTATTTGCTTTAGGCGAAAATCAATGGTGAATGGTCCCAAATAGGCGACAACGCCCGATGAAATGAGCACATCGCCCGTGACGCTCTTGAAGCTCGCCTGAAGCACTCGAGCTGTCTCAGACCAACGGGTGCGCTCTCCGCCCAAGCCAGAGATGAGCTCCTGGGCGCGCTGCAGCTTCTTTGTGCAGGCCTCGTGCTCCGATAGCAAAATACTAAGGAGCAAATGGAAGTGATTAACGCAGCTGCCAATAATATATAGAGCCTTGCTGCTCACCCATATTGTCTCAGCTGCTCGTCGAGGATCTTCTGTATAGCTGCCAAGTTGGCCTCGACTCTGGCCAATTGAGCCAGCTTTTCGTTGAGCAACTTCATGGCCGCATTGTAGTCAGCCTCGGCGGCGGCCAAAGCAATTTTCTTAGGCGCCACAACTTTGGCAACCACATCGTACTTGGACAGGGCAATGACCCAGCGACAAAGGCCCTCGCAAGCCGTGGATGCCATCTTGATCTTTTCGGGATCGAACGCTTCGTTGTTGAGAATGCGCTGCTGCAGCTTTTTCATCACATCCGGCGATATGTTGTCCTTGTCGAAGTTGAGCAAGCTGTCCAGGAATTTCATGTCGCTCAGCACACGTTTCGATGGACCCCAGTAGTCCTCCACGGTGCCCACGCCACTTGGATTTGGTACCTTGTCCGGTTTCATTTCCTTGAGAATGCAAACAGCCTCCATAACAATGCGCACGCCGATGGGCGGACTCTTCATAGTCTTGACCACAGCGATATCAGCAGTGGTTAGCGTGTTCAAGGCCGAGAGAGCAGCTTCCAGAATGGGCAGAGCCTCGCCCAATTTGGCATCGCATTCGTCCTTGATCTCTTGAGCCACAGCTGCCTGCACCTTGGCCGCCTGCTCATCTTCTTTGACCAGCTCGCGCTGCTCGGCTGCCAGCTTACTGTCGGCGGTCACCTTGGCCACCTGCTCGGCCACGATCTCGGATGCCTCCTTTAACTTGGGCTCCAGCGCCTGCAGCTGCTCCTGCATGACGGCCACCTGCTGGGCGGCAATGTCCAGCTGCGAAATACCCGTCAAATAGCGGTTGCGGTTCATCGTGATGTTGCTGTAGATTAAGATTAATTTGATTAGGATGCAGTAGCTGTAAGATAGATCCACACGCACTTTCTCTTCTGGCTAAGCAGCGACTTGAATGTCTGTATCAATTCCAGATAGGATGTGGGCGTCACATAGTTGTAGCGATGCAAAAGCGTAAAGAACTGGGCAGACAATGCCTGTGTGGACGTATGAAACTCCATGCACATATCGATGGCTGTTTTGCGTTCCAGGGCAGTTAGCTCCTCGGAGGCCAGGAAACGTGTGGATACCGCCAGCAGAGCATCCTCCGGCCAAGGCTGGAACCAATCGATCGTACAGCAATTGACAATCGAGGGAAATTTGCGTATACGATTACGCAAAGCATCGCCAATCGGCGACATGGCCAGGACAATGTGCAGCTGGTCCTTGCAGGTCTGCAGGGATATATATCAAGGTGCTATTAGCTATCAGAGAAGAGGATAAAAATACGCATTTAAAGCTGATCTCCCACCGTAACGAAAAAGTTAAATAGGGCAATGGGACTGCCATCGGTTTGCACGGCCTTGTCGCGCTGCTTATCGATTTGTGCCATCTTTTCGACCACCTCGATTTTCTCCTCATTGGTGAACAGATTGGGCACCTCGCCGGAGTTCAACAGATTGTTAATATCCTCCAGAAAGGACTCGTCCTTGATCTAAAAGTCTTTCAAGCATTAACAAAATACCCCAGAACACATCAACTGTAATTGATCGAAAGTGCTGAAATGCTTAGCCCACCTGAACGTCCGTAAAGAGAAATACGCCGTGCATTTCAGAAGCCCCAATTTTACGTAGGATGCTTTTGATATCCTCATGATACTCATACGGACCATACAATCGAGTTATTTCCACTTGAAAGAGCTCATAGTCGCATATATGCGAAGCCAATCGAGTCAAGCTCTGCCGCCCGGAGCCGCCGACTCCGATGAGCAGAGCATGACTACGTGGCTGCTTTATGATGCGACATATGCGCGATAAATGTTCGATGGCAAAGCGGAAAAGCACCAGATTCATTGGTTTCTTCGACATATTATTATACTCGACTAGATACGCCTCCACAACAGTGCGCAGCTCTTCCAGATCTTGGACCTCGACATAGTTTTTCGTATCCGCTTTCGGATTGGTAAAATCGCAATAGATCAACTGCCGGAAGTCGTTCTCCTCCAGCTTTTTACCCTGCTGCACAAAGCGCGAAAACAGACGCTGCGCATCAATATTGAAGCTGTCCTGCACAGTGGCGCACAGCTTGCCAAATAGCCAGCTGCGATCGCTGTCCTCCACCAGGCGATCGCCATAGACGCGCAACACCTCGTGCACCCACAGTCGCCGCATCGAGTTCATGTCCTCCGTAGCCTCCGGCACAGACAGCAGCACGCCCTGTATAACGCGCGAAAAGTCGCGCAAATTGAACAGATAATGGGACTTGGCGGGCGTGGGCAACAGATTCAACTTGGCATCATTGTACACAGACAACGTTGCACCCACAATCTCATCAATACAAGGATCAAATTCCTTCGAGAAGCCACTGATGTTAGTTAAGAGAACTTGAATTAAATGCTTACATGCCTTGACCATAGACAGCACTTACCGCGCATCCAGATGCCAGAGCACAATCTTGCCGAAAATCGTATTCATAATCTCATCGTTGAAGTCATCAATGGCGATCACATTGAAGAAGCGCTGAAAACGCGGCGTCACTGTATTGCCCGTCGAGGGCGGTCCCATGGCCACAATCATCTGCAGATCGATTAGCTTCATGGGCACAATGTTCTTGCGATCATACCACATCATATGATCGAGCATCATGCGCAACAGCTCAATGGGCGGCTGTGCACCGTAGTTCTCCTTCAGCGGCATCGAGACATCGTCCACAAAGATGACAAAGTGACTATTCAGCGGTGGTCCGAAGACGCCTTTGCGTCTCTTATCCAGCTTGGACATTATAATATCCTGTGTCTGATTGGCGGACGTCTGCGCCGAGAAGCTGATGAAGAGCGGCTTGTACACAAGCAAATCCATTTTCTTTAGCATATAGTCGATGACATAGACGCTCTTGCCCGTGCCGGTGGGCCCGACTAACATCAGGGGATTGCCATGGCGCACCAGCAAATCCAATACGGCTGCTATGCGTACGCTCTCGTTGGTCTGGATGAGAATCTGGTTGACGGGTATATCGCGCGGCAGAGGCGGTGCTGAGTTGACATCGTCCTGCCAGGGCTTCCATTTGCCCTTGCCCTCCTTTATATAGCGATAATCAAACACCGAGCCCTGTTTGGGTATGGGAAATATGAAGGGCTTGGATAACGGCTCCACGTACAAATCCTCCGTAACGCCATACGTCTCGTAGAGGCTTTGCGGAAAAGTCTTCTCCATGAGCGCACGAAAGACAATATTAAATTTCTCCCGGCTCTCGGCAGTCAGCGAACCACCGATCGACCAAATTGCCGAGAATAGGAAAATGCCTTCGGTTTGCGCACGAAAGTCCAAGTCCGAAATGTTCGCCACATACTTTTCATCACGGAAATCATCGATGAAGCACTCAAAGAAATTCATCAAGCTGACCATCAGATTGGTGTCCGAAGTGGGCGCGATCTCACGCAGCCCCTTGCGCACCACGTACAAGAGGAGCGGACAGAAGCGCGAGATCATCATGGAGATGAGCTGTTTGCTAACGCTGTGGAAGGCAGCGGGCAGAGTGTTCTTCCAGGAGGTGACCAGCGGCTCCCAGCCCAGCGAGCTGGGCTCCAAATAGATCATGCCACAGCGTGAAACGGTGGCCGGCGAAGCCACCTCCAGATCCATCGGCTCGAATATCAAATTGGTCGTATTCGACAACTGAATAATCTCGCCGGACATTAGGCACAATTTCTTATTATCGTCCAGCACAGTGTTCATGTTCTCAATCCAAATGGCATCCACAGGTCCATCGAAGATAAGCCACTTTCGATCCGGAGTATCGGATACGGCAAAGATGCGATAATTCACAGCCAAGATGCCGTCACTCCACTCATGCGAGACGGCATCGAACTGGCCATACAGCTGGCCCATGGTTATAGCCTTCGGATTGATGATCGTGTATATGGCTCGATTCTCAGAGCCATCCTTTTTCTCCATGCACTCAAGCGCCTCGGCCAGGATGCGATATGTTGTGGTCTTGCCACCGAACGGATAGCCCACCAACATTAGGCCATGTCGCACCACAATCATCTCATACAGCTGCCAAATGAATGATATAAACACAAATCATTTTAGATTTCACTGTCTACCCACCTGCTGCACCTTCTCGAGTACGAACGGTGTGCATTGCTTGTTCTGCTTCTCACAGGCCATCATGGTGCACGCATTGAAGACGACGTAGTCAGCCTCGGGCAGGGTGACACCCGGGAACAGATCCGAGGTGATGCCCTGGAACAATGGTATGTCCTGATTCAAGAATTTGGGCAAATTGACATCCTTGATGGAGCGCAGCACAAGTATGTCCTCGCTCTCATCACGATAGCGCAGCTTCAATGCTCCAGCTGCCTTCAGCACAGACTTGACAGCTCGCATACCATAATCGTAATGGCACTGGGTGCTCAGCTGCTCGGAGCATAGACGGTAGGTGGCCACAATCTTCACCGAGAGTGGCTTGGCCCTCAGGAAGCCATAGGAGTACAATTCGATCTCGGAAATTAAGGCATAATCCGGCACCATCATAGCCACTGAGCGGAAGAGAGCCTAGGCGAGGCAAGCTAGGTTAGCAAACTCATTTTATCCTTCACAAAATCTTACCTTTAGATTATCGGGCAATTCCGATCGTCCTGCATAGCCGGGATTCATGGTAATGAAGACGGCACAAGTGGGATCCAGCGTTAGGGTCGTGCCCTCAAAGACCAAAGTGGGCGAGCCCGAGTTGATGCCACGCTGTATGGTGAGAATCTGTTGGGCGACCACGGACAACACCTCCAGATCGATACGATTGAACTCATCGAAACAGGACCAGGCGCCGCAGGAAGCCAAACCCTTAAAGAACTTGCCGAGAGCCAAGTAATCTAAGCCATCGGAGCAATTGAAGACGACGCACTGCTTGGCGACGGCCTTGGCCAAATCTTTGGTGGTCTCCGTTTTGCCCGTGCCAGCTGGACCCTCCGGAGCGCCGCCCAAATGCAGATTCAAGGCGGCAAACAAAGTTCGATAGCAGCGATCGGTCAATGGAGTAACCACTAATCGGGGAGTATTGCCCAAGTACTCATAGCCGTAGGGCAATGAGCAGTTGATCATGCGCGTATCCAAGTTGTTCTCCTCCCAGTAGTAGCGCAATTGGCACAGCCATTGAAAGTCCTGCAAGTCTTCGACCTCTTTCTCAACGATCTCTGCGAGTACATCGCGTGCATGGACATCGAGCACGACCAGAGCGCCCAGTGTAATACGATTCTGTGTGTTGAGATCACCTCTAACCAGATCGACGATCTTCATAATTTGATTCATGCATTTCTGCAGATATTTGGCCAAATTCTCCTTTGGTTTTTCGCTTAGGAAGCACTCAGTGATCTCTAGAGTCCAATAGGTCAGCGATATCGACTGGACGCACTGACCCGGCCAGCTAAGCACCCAAATGTTGCGCTGCATCTTAACGTAGCTGTAGAATGCCTCCGATATCTTCTGATGCAAACTCTTTTTCATGTCAATCTCAAGCTCCAGCAGCCACTTCTCCACCTGACCGCGTGCCTTGGCCGTCGAAATGACGTCGGCCAGCACGACTACTTCGCGCTCCGACGAACGCATCGCCGTGACCTCCAATTCCTCGGTGAAGGTGAGCGAGCCAATGCCCTCGAAGCACTTCTTGAGATGCGGCTGTACGCGCGTGGGATCCTTCGTTTCCGACAAAATTTCGAGCAGCTCGTCGTTGGACAGAAAGAAGAAGCGCGGAAAGTACAAACGCTTCTTCTCCAAGTAGGCATTGAGACCCTTCTGTATGATCTCGAGCAGATTATATGCCCGCTTCAGCTTGTCATTCATCTTGTCGATTTGGACAACGGTCATCACGCGTGGATCCAGTGAGACCTGCTTCATCAGCTCCTTCCAAATCTGTGACGAGTGCAAAAGAGTGGATATTGAGTTGACATCAGAGACTTGAACTACTCAAGCAACACAAAGTGGACGTCGAGTGACTAACCCTATACGCTGTAGGAAAATTCTAAACTAGTCTAAGGACGACCCTTGTTTCAGACGATTATGAGATGAGTAAATGCTTTTATAATTGCTTAACTTTTGCTTAAGCTCGTCAAATTCAGAGCTTAACCCTTTTAACTACTACGCCCACTTGGTACAGGGTATCTAGAGAAGCAACCCACCTTATCGACAGCACTGAAGCGACGTCCCTCCTCGGGCATTTGTTGCTGAATGTCTGGACTGCTGAAAATGGGCTCCAGATACATCCAGGTGGACTGCACGCGCAGCCACTCGTCCAATATCTCCTGCAGCAGCATCAGCTTCGCCTCCCACTTGCTGCAAGTGCACAAAACGAGCATTAGTAAGGGGTGTGTGCGTGTGTGTGTGCGTGTGTGGGAGTGTGATTGACATTGACAAGTGCAGAACAAACAGGCTGAGAGTGCACTCACAGTATTTCCGCCTCGAATGGCTTGATGTAGGGTGAGCTCTTCATTGTCTGCGTCTTGATGATTTGATCGTCCAACAAAATTTGTATGTCGTCCACGGCGGACAGCTTAAAGGTACCAGAATCCCTGCGGGAGACATTTCAATTAGAGTCGACACACACACACAGTCAGGTGTGCAGGGCAAATGTTACCTGTATGGCGATATGCCAAACTCAACGCCCTCCCATTCGTTGACCATTTTGGCCATGGCCTTTTCAAGGTTATTCTCCTTGGTGGCACTCTCCGAGATGGCTTCAAACTTGGGCACATACTCATCCAGCTGATAGTCAATAATCTTCTCCAGCGTCAGCTCCGGCGACACTTTGATGGGGAAGCCGATAATTTCGGACACCTGCTCCCAATGGCGCGCCTTCATGCCTGGATTGCCGAGGGTATTTATGATGGGCATATGTCCGCGGAAGAGTTCCATTTGCTCTTTGACATCCATGATGAGCTGCATGGTAATGGGATGATCGTACATCTGCTTCTCCAGCTTTTGCACAATGCGATAAAAGTTGGACACATCCTGGTCAATCTCGTCCGGATCAAAGGAGCCCACTTGCGAGTACATCCACAGCTCCCACTTGTCAATGAAGTCCTGGCCCGCATCGAACAGATTCTTGTAGGGCTTGAGCTGATCGTGCGCCTTCTTGCGCACTGAATATTGGGATAGATCCCAGCCATAAGATGTCTCCTCCTCGTTTATCTGATCGATGGTCTCCATGGCATTGACCAGTCGCTGATCCAGCAAGCCGGCTCGCTTCTTATACTTCGACAGCTGCTTAATGTCGCCCCACGTATCGTACAGCTGCACCTGGTCGTAGTAGCTCTGCAGCTCGCGACGAAACATCTCGATGCGTTTCTTGAGTAGCTCTTGGTACTCGATCACCTTCTCGGCGATGATGAGGCGATGCTGCTCAAAGACTGACGCCAATTTCAAATACCATTGGAAGGAGTTGCTATTGTTCTTGATCTCCAGCGGGGAGTACAGCGTGTGATCCATTAGCCAAAGGATTTCGCTCATGTTGACCTTCAGGCGTCCCTCCATTTCGGGCACCAGATTCTCCTCGGCATGCACCACATATGCTTTCAGTTCCATTAGCTCAGCCGTATCCTTGGGCACAGTAAGCGCCTTCTTCGCTATCATATCGTACTCCTTGCCCAGCCGGGAGATGCGCGCCTGCTGATCGCTCACCATGCGAGCGAGCAGATCTGTCTGGATCTGTCTGGCCAGCGATTCGACATGCACAATAAAATTATCCCGATGGAATTCATAGAGGCCCATACGTATGACGCCCCAGACCTCCTTCGCAATGCGATCCTCCTTCTCTCGGTATTCGTAAACCATATCCGTGTACTGCTGGAAGGTAGCATTGCCGTCCATAAAGCGAGCAACACGCTCCGAATCCATGCCATTGATCAGATCAATGAACGCATCAAAGTCCTGCAAACGGAGCTCGGGACCAATGCGCTGCTCCTCGAGCATCATGCATATTCTATTCTTCGTATCGGCAACAATACTATCCGGCACGGTGGGCGTTAGGAACAACTTCTTCGATATCTTCAGATCCGTATAGAGTTTACCCTCGATGCGTGGCAACATCTGCACCGAATGCACAATCGAATCAATCACGCGCAAAAGTTCACTTTGTATTTTCGAGAAGCTCGGATTGAATGTGATCGTATCCTCATCCGCCAATATACAGGCGATCTCAAAGCCAGGATTTGATTTCTGTGTGTGGCAAAATGGAAAAGGTTAACATTTTCAGAGACTGCTTCGTGGTGGACTCAATTGTTTTTCCTTAGTATGTATTTGGTAAACAAGGAAAGCTAGATTTGCTTAACCTTATCTTAGAAGTTCGATTGGCATAGATTTTTTTCAGTTGGGTTAATAAGAGATTAGATTAGTTTGCATTAAATTAGATTAGGTGAACTTAAATTTAGCCAAAGAATCATTGCAAAGGAAAAAAGTTGAACAATTTCCTTAAGACTTCAAGAGTTTAGTTCGTCAAGACCAAAGAGCGAACTCAAATAGATTTGATTTACTAACAAATGTCAAAGGCGTATTACGCTTTCCTTATTCACTTTTAATCAAAAGGAATACTTCCTTCCGTCTGAGCCTTGCGGACTGACTGCATTACACCAAGCCCAGACCATTTGGCCAGAGCGCTAGTTGGCGACTTGGCAAGCTCAGTGATTACCAACTGGATTCCTGGATTACCCAAGTCAATTAGGGGCCCTTAAGTACTTACACCGAAATCGCAAACGTAATTGGCAAATGCGTTAAGGCTGCGTATGCAAATGTCCTCGAGCTGTTGGGTCATCAATGCGGCGACACAGTTGAAGAAGCGCTTCACCAATGTCATGCGTCGTATATCCGGCAATTGGCCACGTTTGCTGGCCTTTAACAAAGTCGTGTGTATCTCACCATACCAGACATCCTCCAGCATGTTCTTGCCATTTTCGATGTGATTGCCGCATGTATACTGTGTGTGCCGAGGAACTCAATTAAGATATACACTCCAAATTGAATTTTCTGTATTAGTGCAACTCACGATAAAGCTGAATAAAGGGAATGGCTCTTCGACCTTGCTCAGCTCATCAATGTTGACCAAGGTTTTGTTGCTGTACTTCAAGCTCCACACTTCCAGAATGCTGGCCACGCTGCGATGGATGGAAAACAAAGTGGTTTTCAAGCGATTGCGATTCTCATCATAGCTGGAACGAGAGAGAGAGACGAAACAGTTTTTGAAATTTGATTAGATTGCCAATAAAGAGAGTTAGGGTTGAGAGGTTCGGATACAGGATACAGATTATATTAGTAATAATGAAAGTATAAGTTATAATAATGAAAATGAAAATGATAATGACAAAGATAATAATAATGATAATGATAATGATAATGATAATGATAATGATAATGATAATGATAATGATAATGATAATGATAATGATAATGATAATGATAATGATAATGATAATGATAATGATAATGATAATGATAATGATAATGATAATGATAATGATAATGATAATGATAATGATAATGATAATGATAATGATAATGATAATGATAATGATAATGATAATGATAATGATAATGATAATGATAATGATAATGATAATGATAATGATAATGATAATGATAATGATAATGATAATGATAATGATAATGATAATGATAATGATAATGATAATGATAATGATAATGATAATGATAATGATAATGATAATGATAATGATAATGATAATGATAATGATAATGATAATGATAATGATAATGATAATGATAATGATAATGATAATGATAATGATAATGATAATGATAATGATAATGATAATGATAATGATAATGATAATGATAATGATAATGATAATGATAATGATAATGATAATGATAATGATAATGATAATGATAATGATAATGATAATGATAATGATAATGATAATGATAATGATAATGATAATGATAATGATAATGATAATGATAATGATAATGATAATGATAATGATAATGATAATGATAATGATAATGATAATGATAATGATAATGATAATGATAATGATAATGATAATGATAATGATAATGATAATGATAATGATAATGATAATGATAATGATAATGATAATGATAATGATAATGATAATGATAATGATAATGATAATGATAATGATAATGATAATGATAATGATAATGATAATGATAATGATAATGATAATGATAATGATAATGATAATGATAATGATAATGATAATGATAATGATAATGATAATGATAATGATAATGATAATGATAATGCTAATGCTAATGCTAATGCTAATGCTAATGCTAATGCTAATGACAATGACAATTCCAATGGCAATGCTAATTCTAATGAAAATTACCATTCTGAAATGACAAGAGAAATAAAAATACTGAAAAAATACTAGAAATACCAATCACAATGAGAATAATATATACTTAAATATTACTAATAATTATACCAATGACAATAACAATGCTAATGCAATATATATGGAAATTGGGAAAGTTTCTCATTGAATCATTTCTTTTTATGCAAATTCTGAGAGCTCGGAAAAACTTTTCAGTTGAGCTGCTTTTAACACGGCCCATTAGGCAACGCATTGGTCCAAAGCGAAAAACGCCTACGCCTAACTTGCCCTACATTTTAATGAAGCCAAATGCTTTTGGCTATAAATTAGAGGAGCTCCAAGCCCTCCCCCTACCACACACACACACTAGCAGAAGCATTTATCGATGGGCGACCCACTTGGGCAGTTGCACAACAAAACTTTTGGCCTTTGACCGCGCCACACCTCGCTGTGACCAGCGTGCTTTCAGCGGCAAGTTCAATTCATTTTTAAGCATATCCTTTTTACAACTTATGTCTGCCACTCCCACTGCCACCCCACTATCGCAGCAGCTTTACTGTTGCTCATCAAATGTCAAACCAATACACAGGAGAACTTAACTTTTGCTCAGAATGCTTCTTCGTCTTTTCTTGTTTTTTTTTTTTTGGTTGCCACGCCTGCTCCACAAAGCAATAGCTACTCCCTAAAAGCCACGCCCCCTCACCCCCTTTTGGAATACCCACTGGTTTTCCATTTCCGCAGGAGCAGCCATTGTAGTGCGGTTAAAAAGTTTTTTGGCACGACGCAAAGCGATTTCTCGCGTTTCCCATGGCTGGCAGCTCTTAATAAAGTCGCGACAACTTTTCCAACCAGCTACTATATATAGTATATATATACTAAATATACACATATATGTAAGATATATGTATATAAGAAACTTATTGTCAAGTTATTTTATCAAATTTAGCGCCAGGACAAATCATTTTGAATGAAATTCACCTTTTTCAAGAGCTGACAGACACGTGTGTGTGTGTGTGTGGGCGTGTGCGTGTCAGTGTGTGTGTAATTGCATGTCAATTGCATGGCTATATAAACTCCCTCTCAATTTTGAAAACTTTTTAACGACCTTAAAGGGTCCCTCAATTGCCAAGCGAAACGATTTACGTTTCCAAAGTTAAAACACATTTTAACAGCTCAACATTTTTCTTGTTAATCTGTGGAAATTTAAGTTCTCTGCATCTACATTATATATTATAAATTTAATATTCAAAATTAATTTTAGATATTTTTAAAATTTTAAATTTAAAAAAATTATTAAGAATAAAAACTAATATATATATTTCTATAAATGCAGTAAAAAAATTTAATTGTCTTATTATTTTTTATTTGATTAATATAATAAATAAAAAATAATATTTTTATTAGTATATATACAGTAAAAAATTTGAATTGAATTTTATTTATAATAATTTTTTATGTTTAAATTTAATATATTTTTCATATTTGTATTTAAAATAATTTTGTTACAATTTATTTTCCCAAGTATTTTTAATATTATTTTTATATTGCTTTTGCTTTTTTTCAGAAGAAATTGTAACAAAATTATTTTAAAATTATATATGAAAAATCAAATTTAAATGCAGAACATAGAAATATTGTTCACTAAAAAAAGTTGTAATTCATAAGTTTTTAATTTTCAGAAACTAATAAAAAAATAAAAAAATTTAAAAAAAAAACTTGTTTAGCTAACATTCAAAATAATTTAATATTCATGTTAAGCTTCCATATGAGTCAAACAACTCTCGCATATTGATCTTAAATAAAAATAAAGTATAAGCTCACCGATATCGAAAATGATTCATTAACTTTTCAATTTCTCGGCGCTCAGCCGTATCGAACTTCAGTGGAGCCCCCTCCTGGGTCAAGCGATCCAGGACCGAATGACGCAAAACGAAGTCGACGACAGCTTTCTTCATGGCAAACACATAGTCGGAGCGCACCTCGGCAATGTTCTCGATAAAAGCTGAATCCCATTTCTTCAAGAGTGCCGGCACCAGGTTGTCAATTCTGCCAAGGAAAGCATTTAGTACATCTACTGATATGATGTCAGGCGCTTACCGCTTCAGGGTCTTCTTGCTGATGGTCGAGACGTGAATGGTGTCGATGCCGTGTTTAATATAGTAATAATAGCGTAAGACTTCACGTTCGCCTTGATCGGGAAAAAGGCTTTGCCCGTCAGACCACTCCTGATCATCATCCATATGCAAGATCAGCTCTACGAGCTTCGTACGGAAATGCTCGCGTTCCTGCCGCATCACCATATAGTTGGACGAGGCTTTACTTCTGGACTCACCTTCTTCGGCTTTGTCGGCTAGCTTGCGGCGTGATCGAGACTTCGCGCAGGTCAAACTCTCAGGCATATCAGATAACATTTGGCCATCAAACAAATGGCTGGTACATTCGGGCATGTTCAATTCGTACCACAGACGACGCGATTTATAATCCGCGTTCGCCTTGGATTGTAGAATGCTTTCTAGTACATCTGGTTTGGGTCGTGTATATAGCATTTTCGATTTGCTGCAGATGCGTCGAACCCCGCAGACAGACGTAAAACTGGGTATATTCTTATTTGGATTTTGCTTATCCATCTTGTTTATGTGCGGTTTTCAAAGTTGGCGCACAACAACAGCGACAAGGTGGCAGCACTGGTCAGAAATATATATTTTTATCGAGTATAAATAGTTTCAGTGATGCTTTCGATTCATCGAAAGCAGCACAGATGTGTAAGCTGTCAAATCGATAGGTATGTCGATAATAACTAGAAAGCACAAAAGTAGTTTTCTCAATTAATTTACTTTAAATAAGTATTACACAAGCAAAGAATTTAACTTACGTTCAGTTAGTTAATTGCATGAGCACCACAGATAGTAGGGCTATCAAATCGATAGCCAAACAAAAAGCCGGTGCCCGAAAAATGCACTAAAAAACACCACATAATACTATATCAAAATTAAATACAGGAAACAAAGTATTGCACAAGCAAAACAACATGCAAAGCAATCAACTTGCAATTAGTTTAATATAATAGTTAATTGTAATATTAATAATTGTTAACAATCTCTTTTCACTGTTTGAAGAGCCACAACCGGTGTGCGCACTTACCAACGTATTGAAAACAAATGCAAATTACACGCACGCCCATTGAGAGTTAAAATTCAAAATTGATTAAACAATTTTGTTGTATAGCAAAACAAAACAAAAAACATCACCGTTGTCCCTGGCAGCAGGCCAAGCGCAACAAGTAACGCCATTTCATAATCCGAAACATAGAAATTAGAACCGGTCAATAGCTACAAAATTACAGTAAACAAATTTTAGAAAAATTATCAAAATGTTGCTACATAAAAGTTTTGTTCACGCTTTTCATACCACGCGCAAACTGTGCACTGCTGGAGCCGGATTGGAGAAGAGCGCCTTATCCGCGTTACGAAAAAAGACGGGATATACGTTTGCCAATTGCAAAAAGGCGCTCGCATTGCATAACAACGATGTCACACAGGTGGGCGATGCAGTTTTATATACATATATACAGTTAGTTTTATATATGATTAGTTATGATTCGCACATTTGCAGGCAGAGAAATGGTTGCACGAGCAGGCGCAGTCTTTGGGCTGGTCAAAAGCCACCAAATTGTCGGATCGCGTCACCACACAGGGCCTAGTCGGCATCCTTGTCAGCGGAAATCGTGGCTCCATGGTCGAACTTAACTGCGAAACGGATTTTGTGGCACGCAATGATACGTTCAAACGTTTTGTGGATCATGTTTCACGCATTGTTTTGCACTACACGGATCTCACAGAGTTCGATGGTGATTTGTGGAAGGTAATGAAGAAGTAGTTTGATTAGTAATATGACATATGAAAGAATGCTTGGAAGTGATTGAAAGCTTTATATAACATAAAGATGCGATCAGTTTCCGTTTTATGGAACGCCTATATAGAATATATTTTACTTTCATATATTATTATACTACGAATGCTTGCTATAGAAAAACGGATCTTTCAGATGATTCCTTAAGATAAATTGTTGCGTCTTTAAACAACTTCAAGAAATGTTACTGCAGAATTATATTTATGTATACATTTTCTGTGTATATTATATGTATATTTCATTTGTTCACAGCTCGGCTTTGACTCGGAGGCTCTGAAGAACTTGGAGACGCCGCAAGGCGGCTCACTGGCCGATCATCTGGCGCTGCTTATTGGTGCGATGGGTGAGAATGCCAGCATTAGGCGCGCTCTTTGCTTTAAGGTCAACAACGATTTGAGACTGGCGGGCTATGCTCATCCGGCGCCAACGAATGTCAGCACCACACAGAATATTACGCAGGTGGGCAAATATGGTGCCATTGTTGCCTTTCGTTCGCAGCATGATGTCGACGATCACGAAATCCAGAAAGGCATATGCCAGCAAATTGTGGGTATGAAACCGCTTAAAGTGGGCGAATACGGCAAGGATGTACCGGCAGAGAATAAGGATGATGAGACCTGCCTCATACATCAGGAATATCTACTGGATGCGGACAAAACCGTTGGCGAGGTGCTCAAAGAGAATGCCATTGAGATCGTCGACTACCATCGCTTTGAATGCGGTGAACGGACGCAGCGAGACATCAAAGAGATCATTCGTGCCCAGCAACAGAACAGCAACTGAAAACAGATGACCCGATCCTGGATCCGACGTAGTATTCAAATTTTGTTGTACTCTTGAATATGTAAATTCTGGCTAGCAAATACAAAGATTATGAAGGCAACATACATATGAAGACGAATACTGAAAAAAACTTGTTGCCTTTTTGAATTGTATGCGTCATGCTACCGCGGGGGTTGCACGAATGCGGGAAGCACGCTTCAGTGCCTCCTACTGGCTGCCTCGGCCGCTGCCACTGCCTCTGCTATTGTCCACTGTGCCTACCTCTGCTTCGGCCTATACCTCTGCTGCTGTCTCTGCCTTCCATGCCGTTGGCATAGAAAGGCCTGTTTATGAATCGAGTTTTGTTCTGCTTGTGGTAATTACCCGCACGTCACATTTGGACCCTAAAATAAGATATGCGGAAACACAGGTGTTTAGTGTAACAGAACCTTTTCTCTTCTCCTATCTTTCTCTTTCTCTCTTTCATTCGCTCGCCGAACTTTGCAATGACCCTTCCAATTGGAATTTCAATATGAAAAGGAAGTAAACGCTTTTTTTTTTGTTGAGTGTTAATCCTAAAATACTGAACAGAGATTTGAAGTGTTCCCATATCATTAGTTAAGTAGAAAGCTGGGTGCATAGTTATAATCAGCTATAAAGCAGGGATTTCAGATATCAGTATATCACTTTAGCTGATACACTATATACTATATACTAGGCAAAACCCAAGCATACATCAATATATTTCAAATAAGACTAATATCAAATTGAAACCCTAAATAGTAGCAAGCCATGTTAAAAGATCTGTCAGAGACTCTCGACAGGCCTAATTGACAAATATAAAGCAAATAGTAAAATCTAATAAAAATGGATTATTTGGATCTAGACTCTTTTCGTTCCAGGTATAGCGATATAACGGTAACGGCTGTGCCCGCCAAACGAAACAAGGTGGATGAAGAAGAGCGTCTGCCAGAGCTCTGGGATGCAGCTGGAAGTGGAGTGGAAATGACGCCGGCTGCACGCGTGGAAATCATACCAATAAACATGCCAAGTGTGCCAAGCAAGTCGATGATGATGCAACAGCAGCACCAGCAACAGCAGCAGCAGCATCATCAGCAAAAGTTAAGTCAGGAGGCTGTTGCCTACTCGAATGAATATCAACAGGTGTTGGCCAAACTGGAGTATACGAAGTATGTGCAGGCGCAGCTGCAGCTGATGTCCAATAGCAATGGGTTTGGTGAGCTGCTCTATGGCTTGACTGGCAACCAAATGCAACTGCCCAGCAACGAAGCCAACGGCATTTCGAACGGCGGCAACATTGTGGACACCTATGACAATCTGTTAAGTGTCATTGCGGAAATGCAGAGCAATTTGGGTCCAACGGCAATTGGTTTGCGTGCTCCAAAGGAGCGACTGTTGCGTGATATAGCCCATGCTCGTGTCCTGGTTAGGGAATGCATTCTAATGCTAATGCGCGATCATCAACATCAGCAGCACCAGCACCAGCAAGCGAGCGGCGAGTGACGTCACAATACGACGTGTTAATTGCCTGTCTTTGTTTTCACAGTGTGTGACATAATAAAACAGCAAAGCAGCAACAACATGCGTGAAGTTCCCAGAACTAACACACACATATACACAAACGTGATATTCACACTTGGCGCTTTGTACACACACTTAAACATGCTCTTCACACTCCGCTCACTCACACATTCATGTGCAATGGTCACACACCAACAGCCAACAAAAAAACGCCTTTAGGCACTCTCACACACTAATATGCAACGAAAGGGTCACGAAATATCGACTTCGACGTCGACGGCGCTGCCTATGATGAAGCTCTCTCCCATAGTTATACAGTGGTCACACTCCAGCTCTGCCCAAAAGGCTCACAAAACAAAACGACGTTGCTGCTGCTGTTACCGTCGCTGCTTTGACATGCGACGAAGCCGCGCTTCAATTGAAGTTCGTGCGCTGTGTACGCGCTCAGTCATAAGCCGACCTTACGCAGGTTAAGCCATCGCTCTAACGCTCACGCATTAGCAATTGTTGCTTAAATTTTTGTGATTGGTGGCTTTTGTTTCCGTTTGCGATTCGGGTTAATTTGTTTGGAAAGTGGGCACAACCGTGCTTTTATTTCCGCTGCACAATTTTCGCAAGAAATTATAAATTACGCAAAAAAGAAACAAAATTATAAATAAACAGCAACAGCAGCTCAAACGTTAATTATACTAGCACGCTGATCAGTACGCGCGCAAAACTATCCCTCTCTCTTGAGTCCCTCTCTCTTTGAGTCTGCTCGTATGCGTGTGTGCGCGCGCGCAACGGTAAATTTGCGAAAAACGAATTAGAAAAACAGAGTAGCGACAATAAGAGCGGCATTTGCGTTAGTTGGTGACAGCAAAAGGAGTGCGAAAAAGATTAAAATTGTTTAATTTGTTGCTGATTGCTGTTTTGCTGTAATTGGGGAGCGACTTTTAAGTCATTTTATGCTGCCGCGACATAAACATTAAAAACAACAACAGCAGCAGCAGCTGCAATAAAAACAAACAGCTGCAGTTGGCGCTTGCAGTTTATTTCTCTTCATTTTGCTTTATGGTTTGCATTTTTGCATGACTGCTAAAAAACAAGAAAAATAAAAGCAACAACAGTAACAAATTAGTGCACAAAATGCCGCCGTTTAATTTCATTAAGCAGGTGAGTGTGAAAATTATAATTAAAATGGATTTATTGCATGTGTTAACACAATCCAATTAATTTTAACTATGTATGCAAATATTTATAAACGAATAATTATATATTATTGCAAGTGCTCTGGCCTCACTGAATTCTGATTCGCTCAGCTCAGACTAGCCAAATGTCTAATTCGAAAAGGCTGCCATCTACTTAAGATTCTTATTAGCATTGTAAAACTAAACATTTCTGTATGAAACTAAACATTTTATGTATATATATATGCATTATTTTTTATTTTATTTGTGTGTATAGCTGACCAACATCTGCTAGAGTATTTACACTTCGCCACTTTTAAGCTAACAATTGTCGCTTGTTCTATAGAAGACATTTAACATCTTGAATAAACTGAAAGTTTTATTGTTTTCCAGTTAGGGACAGAAAGAAAAGGGTCACGACTAAGCACTCCCAAAAAGAAAAACATGCAAACAAACATTTTACAACGCGTGTGTAGAAATTGTGTTTTCTAGATCACGACTTTTCTTTTACATTTGATATTCTATTAAGCAATTTCGACACCTAAAACCGGAAGGTTGCTGAGGCGAACAACCTACGAATTCTCTAGTTCCATTTGTATTGCAGGAGAATAAGAGATATATTCATAGCCTATTTTGCTTTGAATCACGTATAAAAATAGAGCAATACAATCTACATATTCATCGTACCTGGCCTTTAGATAACATATCAATATCGACTTCAATGCTCTACATCAAGTCTCATAGTTAATTAATTTGAATATCAGCAGCCCAGCTAGCTACTATTACAATGTCTCATTAGTAGAGAGTGAGTGAGGCAGAGCATATCTAGAACTGCACAACTACTCTAAATGTCGGTAGTCATATTTAACAACAGGGCGACAAACGTGTCTAATTGGCACCACTAAAAATGGAAGACGACAGCCGAAACGAAAGGTGGAAATGTAATCAAACGCTACGAAACGAATTTGAATACTACCACAGGTCATAGATATTGGAGCGCTACGAAAATAGATTTATCTGAAATCAAAAACAAAAAGAAAAACACAGCTGGAAACGGAGACGCGGCTTTTGTAATTAAGCGTGTCTGCTTCAGCTTCAGTTGCTTAGAGATGCTCCGGGAGATAGCTTCCGGTGATTAAACATTCAAAACAACAGAAAGATGAAACGAGGCTGACTTGATTGAGAGATTGCCAGACTGAAATATACCCTCATAATGAGTTCAAAATGCTTCTTATATAGATCGCAATTTTTTATTGTTTCTGCCTCTATTTGAAATCGAATCTTATGTCAATGTCTGCTCTAATAAAATTTTAAAAAATTTAAATTTAAATTTAAATACTTAAATTAAAATGAGCTTTAATACACAAATAGCTATGTAGCACAATCGCAACGTAGTTTAAGGGAAACTTTCCTCAATTTTACTTTATAGTTTTTTGTAATATATTTTCCTTTAAAAAAATAATTTATCTATTATTCATATATGTAGAATCAATACATTTTTCTTTTAAATTTAAATGTCATTAAAGAATGAAGTCTTTCTCTTTTACTTCTTTTATTTAATAGCTGAATGATAAGCACGAATATCTATATATCTATAATACAAATATACCTATAATATATATATAATGTATAATGTATACACTCCCAAACGCTGATTACGCTTCACTTAAAGACATGCCCAGGGTATCACAAGCTCAAGCAGATGTGAATGGAAAGAGAATAGAACAAGATATTATAAAGGTGGGAATAATTTCTACGGCTGGTCGAGCCACAGTTAGCTTCGTTGGGCTTTCTACGACTTTGATGTTTGGACAGCAGATCTTTGTCTTAAGACACAAAATGCAAATGGATTGTGTTTTAGGAGGCTAGTCCGGGGATGCGATCATAATTCGTTTCGGCTGGAGTCGGACTTGGGCTGGGCCTAATGAATTTCCAAGACCATTAAAGCAGCATTTTGCATTAATTTCGAAGGCTTTTCTTTTTCTTTTATTTCACATTTCTTTTTCTTCTTCTGTCGTTTTCTGGGCCGTGTGATAATTAAGATGAATGACCCAAGTCCGAGAGAGATTGAGCTCCAGTTCAAGCTGGAGTCTTCGGGAGGTTTGGTTAGAAAGTTATTGCACCATAAAATTTAGACAGCCAAATAGGCTATGGAGTTCAGGTTGGCCCGATCCATATATTTGCATTTTTCTCTCTTTTTTAAGTAACTATGGCCAGGTTAATTGCATGTTAAATAACTGTTAAATAACGGTTAGCGTACATCTGTGCAGCTGTCGGTCGCTCTGTCTCTCTCTCTCCCTCTTTGTCGGTCTGTTGTTATGGTTCAACTCAAGCAATTGTTGTTCAACTTCTTGTGCAATTGCCAGCCAGCCTGCTTGCTTGCCTGCCTGCCTGCCTGGCTTTCTTTTATTTCGCTCTTTGTGAGCACCCACTGTAATAACGCTGAAATTATTTTGAACTCCATCTCTGTGTCTTCGCACCCACAACCAAAGTGTTTTGTGTTTTGTCGTTTTTTTTAGCGTGGGAAGACAGCAGCCAACGATTTTTTATTTTTTAAAGGGCTTTACCAACGGTAGCCAGCGAGCGCAATGCGCTAAAATCAATACAAATCCAAATACAAATCGAAACCTATTTCCGTGCTTTGTCTTTGTTGAGCCTCTCAACTTTCGAAATATAATTATTGATTAATGTTGACTTTTTTCAATATTTTTATCAATTCTAACTAACGAACAATAACGCATTTGTTTGTTGGAACAATGCCTTTTATAGCTGATTGATTTTATAATTATTTGAAGCACAAAAGTTTTTTACAGAGCGCACTTTAAGTAAACTCAATTTTTAATTAATAATTTTTTATAAACAAGTTTAAGTATTTAAAATCAAAGTAGGTTTTTACTGGAAAATTTATATATATTATTATTATAATATATTCAAAAATAAAATTAAACATATTTATATCTTTAATGACCCCTGTTTTATTTGGCTGAAAGAAAAACATAAATTAAATAATAGAATAAAAACACATTGAATTTCAATTTGCAAAGAAAAAATACATTTATTTTTTTATTACTTATTTTATTTATTTTTTATATTTATATTCTTATTCTTATCTTAAATAATAATGTATAAATGTATATATATAGATATATATAAATAATAATCTTTTTTGTTTTGTAAATAGAATGCATAAATAGTAAGTATAAAAAAACTTTATAAACTTGAAGGAAATAGTTTATTTTTTTATTTTAATGAATTAATCAATGATAAAAATTTAAAACGAATGATTTTAATGGCATTTATATAGTTTAAATTAAATGCAGAAAAAGTTCAACAAAATACAAATATAAAATTTGGTGGAATTGCGACATTTGTTGAAGAAATTTCCTTAATTTTTTATGAATATTCAACAAAATATTTATAAAACGAAAAGACAAAATAAATATTTATATAAAATATTTAAAATATATTTAATATTTGCTATTATGATAACGTTGCTTTAGTCATCTGAAGCTAAAACAAACACAATTTCCATGATGCGTGCATTGATCATCGAGTCAATAGTTCCTGATGGACACTCTAATGACTATGTTATAGACTAACTGGCGAGATAGTTAGAGTCATCTCTTCAAAACAGATGTCATATTCCGTATGCTCCATCTTTCTGTCTATTTTTTGAGCTCAAGAACATTTCTGCCATTTGTGATGGAAACAGCTGGATAGCTGGTTATTTAGTCTAGTCTAGTCCACTCTGGTCTGGTCTGGTCGCGTCGAGTCTTTGGTCCGATGAAAAACGCTGGCAATTAACGTGCGGTCGCCAAAGAGAACGCTTTGTGAAATGTCTTGATATTGGAATCGGACTCAAAGACTGGGAGCGTGTGCAGCATGTTTGCCATATTTTAGCCATCTACAGCTCGGCTGAGTCTGCGCTAATGAAATGACCACAGCAGAGCATCGATCGCCAAACGAAAAAAAAAATGAAGAAGTTGCAGAAGAAGAATCAAATCGGGGCCAATGCAGATGGAATACTACAAATCAAAGCGGTATCTCGTAGTCCCCTGCAGACGGCCCTCTTAGCCATCGACAAAGTCTGTTTGCAACTGTGGAAAATGCATTTAATGCGCTGCGCTCCTCTGGCATTGTTTAAACTTTACGTAAATGTCGTTAATCGTTGTTTGTCGGCAGCTGGGAGCGCATATTGTCAAACAACAACAAGAAGAAGTTTAACTAAAGCAAACAATAAAATTGTTGCGCTTATTTGTTGTCTTGTGAAAAGGAAAAGTCAATTGTTTGTTTTTTGACTTGACGTGTGTAATTACCATAAATTGTAAATTACATTTTCATCATTTTTGTTTTTTTTTTTTTTGTTGACTCTGTTGTTGTTTAACTGTATGCTAAAAGTCGCACATTTCCAAATGGCAAATACTTTGCATTTACAATTTGCTTTCATTTTTTTTTTCGGTTCACGCCTCAACCCCAATGGTTGATTGAACTTGACTTGCAGTTGGCAGAGACTTTGCTTATGCTGCAAGCCAGTTCAGTATACCCGTTCACAATGTCTTAAAGGGTATACTGGGTGAGATGTTTAGCTTCCGCAGGAGGCAAACATGACATATTTGGCTTATATTTTCCTATATATCGAACATTTTCCTATATATGTAACACTCGCCCAAATCGATAAATATCGATCACATTATAGACATGGTTTGAATCTTCTACTACTCTAACAGGCAGCTGAACTAGATTATTATTATATGATAGGTTGGCTTTTTAATCTAATGTATTGATATCTCAAAGTCCTTCTATATCGATATATATTAACTTGGAATGAACTTATCAGAGCAACTATTTGCAGTTGAATTTGGCAACCCAAGAGTCGAGTTACAGTTAGGTATTTTAGATAGTGTTTTATGTTAATTAAAAAAGATTTGAAGTGGTATATAATAAGAAGGGAAAATCATGTAGAAAAGCATATTATTTATTGGGAAC